CACATGCTGCCAATGTGCTCTCTGTGCCTCAGTTTCCTCATCTGTAAGATAAGGGAATTGGCCTCTGAGGTACCTTCTAGCTCCATGTCCAGCATCCTGAGATGCCAGCCCTTCAAATATTTGAGGACAAACATCATTTCCCTCCCAAGGACATCTTCCCTTATCCAGGCTGAGCAGACCCCATTCTTTCAATGGTCCTGGTTTAGCTGGGTTTTAAGCAACCTTGCTTTGCTGGTCACCCATCGCTGGATGCTTTGCTCCTGAAAACATCCTCCCTAAAATTTGGCCCCCAGAACTGAGCTTGATCCTCTGGATGTCATCTGGCCAGGGAGCAGATGGAGAGACTCTAGTCACCAGCTCCAGACTCTCTGTTTTTAGGAAGGAGGCCTCAGATCACCTCAGCTTTGTCTGGCCACTGTCGTGACACAATCTTGACTTGTGTTGAGTTTGGCACAGTCTACTAAGACCCTGGGTTCTTTTCACATGACCCAGGACTCCCTCATCTTGTTCGTGAAGAGCTGATATTTTTAAGCCAAGTTGTAGGACTTCATATTATTCATCCTTATTAAATTTAATCTTATTAGATTCTTTCCATCACTCTTGCCTTTTGAGATCTATTTTAATCCCAATTCTGTCATCCAAAGCATTAGTTATCTCCCCCAGTGTTTTGTCATCAGCCAATTTCACAAGTGTGCTATCTCTGCCTTGATCCAGATCGGTATAAAAAATGTCGAACAGAACAGGCCAAGGTCAGAGCCACTGGAAAATCTCTACCAGAGGCTTCTCTCCAAGCTGACATCCCCATTAATCTCCACTCTTTGGGTCAGATCACTCAGCCAGCTTCTAATCCACATAATAGAACTGTCATCCCACCCACATCTCTCCATCTGGTCCCCAAGAATGTCATTAGAGCTTTGTCAGATGGCTTCCTAGAATGCAGGCTTACTGCATCAATGGCATTCCTCTGATCTTTCCATCTAGGAACCTTATCAAAGAAGGAAAAAAGAAGAATCTGCCCTGAATCATCTTTGAAGAACCAATGCTGGGTCTCGGTGATCATTGCTGGCCTTTCCAAATAGTCACAGACCACCCTTTTAATAATACAGTCTAGAATTTTGCCAAGAACCAAGGTCAAAAATCACCAACCTATTGTTTGAAAAATCCACCTTCTTTCCCCTTTCGAGAAGCAGTTATATTTTTACATCTCAAGTCCTTCAGAGACTCTCCTGCTCACCACAATCTGGGGTTCAGCATCTCTGTTTGTAAATGATTTTAGTCCCCTGGGAAGCTGCTTATCCAGGCTTCAAGTCTTGAATCTTTTGAAGACAATCTCTCCATTTCACTTATCATCACAGAATTGCAGAACTTCCAAGTAAGGAGATACTCAGTGATCACCTAAGCCAACCATAACCCCTTCCATAACAGTCTAGCAGGTGATGGAGGGAGCTCACTACTTCTAGAAGCAGCCCCTTCTATTCTGAGATGGCTCTGATTCTATACTCATAACTGAGAGGAGGAAGAGGAGGAGGAGGAGGAGGAAGAAGAGGAAGAGGAGAAGAAAGAAAAAGAAAGGAAGGAAGGCAGGAAGGAAGAACAGAAGGAAGAAAGAAAGAAAGAAAGAAAGAAAGAAAGAAAGAAAGAAA